ACCTGTTGTACGTATTATTCCCCACTCTTGTGTGTGTGTGTGTGTGTGTGTGTGTGTGTGTGTTTTCTGTTGTCTTCAAACATGACACTCTCTATGCTGTGCACTAACCTGCATTTTAGAAAATAATTTACCATGGCCGCTTCCTTTCTGCTGTAAAAAGGCAGCTACATGGTTTATAGTGGCTCTTCTGACATCACTGCACGGATGTAGCACAACCTATTCACCAAACCCCTCGGCTGGGCATGTCTGATGTTTCACTAGGATTGACACTGCTGTGGTTAACATCTTTGCACTATTCAAAATATTCTTTACACTCAAATCCTGAAGGTATAACGTCAGTGTCAAAAGGCAGCCACAGCACGCCTCTGCTCCGCATCACCAGACTGCGGAGGTGCGCAGGGTCTGACTCCTGTGCCTTGTGGCATCAGTCACCACAGACGCTCAGCCGAGCTCCAAAGCGGCCGCACCGCAGGCCACGCTCCGCGTGTTGCGGTGCAGCCTCACAGAGCAGCGCGGAGACCCGGGGAGCAGTGCTGACAGCACCCGCCAGGAGTCCTGCGGTGCGTGAGGCGGCGGTCTGCTTCTGAAGCCCAGGACGGAGCCCCGGGCCCTCATGGGGGGCTCCTCCTGGGGGTTTCTGATTCCCCAGCCACGACCACGTGCGTCCTCATCATCCGGGTGGAGGAGAAAGCACAGCACAGCTGTTCTTACCCAGCGGTTCAGCGCATCACAGGAGTGCCTCTCCCGGCCGACTGCCGAAGGGGCCACGCTGGGCACCGGGGCGGCTTTCAGTCCCGGATCTGCCACAAAACACGGAAAGAGGATTCACCTCCCAGAAACACGGCTGACCAAAACACACACCCTCCAACCCGCTTCACTCTGCTCCCAACATCAACCCAAGAGAAAAGTCCCAAATGCTACAGAAATCAGAAGTGTATCTCACAATGAATGGATGAACAACATGTGGTCCGTGCATATGACGGAGTATCACACAGATGTATGAAGCAAAGTCTGTCACGTGCTCAACACTGACGACATTAAACTAAACGAAATCAGCCTGCCACAAAAAGACAAACGCTGCATGGTTCTGCTTATGTGATGTAACCAAGTAGTCACATTTCTAGAGATAGAAAGTAGAATGGTGGGTGCCTGGGGCTGGGAGTGACGGGGGTCAGTGTTTAATGGGCATGGAGTTTCAGTTTTGCAAGGTTGAACTCTGGAGAGCTGCTGTACAACTCTGGGGAGAGACCTAACCCTCCTGAAGTGACACTTAAAACGGTTATGGTAGTAAGTTTGTGCTTTTTTTAACTACATTCAAAATATTTAAAAAATGTGTATCTTACAGAGGATTTAAAGTTTTCACCTTTTATTCTTATGAAAAATATAACACCTATACATTCACACAAACAGAATTAATTTGATTTAAAAAGTTTTTCTTTCAAGGAATTTTGAGAAGAAATCAAAGTGTAAAAAACTAAGTTACCAACTAGGCTGCAAGCACTGTGCACCGTGCAAGGGAAATCAAAGAGCCCAGAGGCCGGCTGGGCTTCCCAACACAATTACCCTCCTTTCTCCGCGTGGTCTAGATGCCTGCTCATGCCAGGCGCCGTGCTAGGCACATGGCTAAGATAAAGGCAGACGCGGTTTCTGTCATGTTGGTGTTTACAGTCTACTGAAGAAACAGCACAAAGGAAGAAATGAAATCCCCCTATGTTGCTGTTAGCACCATGAAAGAGCAGGGGGGTCACTCTGGTACTGCGTGAGGGGGTCACGGCTGGTGGGACAGACTGGGAAGGCCTCTGTGAGGAGGTGGATACTGTGGAGACCTGAATGGTGAGAAGGAGCCAGAAGAAGAGTGAGAGGAACAGCCAGAGCAGAGGTCTTGTGCTGGGAAAGAGCGGAGTGTTCTAGAAACTCCGAGAAGACCAGTCTGGCTGAAGCACAGTGAGCAAGAGGGAAAGGGACCTAAGAGGGAGTCAGAGGAAGGCTAGAACCCTCATCCCCCCTCACCCTAGCCTGGACCTTATCCATGTGGAAGAGTAAGACACCACAGGCTTCTGGGACAGCATGTGGAGAACGGGCTGGGACGGGGTGTGCGGAATGTATCGAAGTGAGAGGTCCGGTGAGAGGGGACTGGCTGCCCCGGACTAGGCAGCGGGCACCGGGGACAGCGTTTAAAAGCAGAGACTCCTGGATCCAACCCACTGAATCAAAGTGTCTAGAAGCAGGACCCCCAACTTGATTTACAAGGGACTTGCTGCCCTTCATTCCAGCACTAGTCCAGGGCCTGGAGTTTGGAAACTGCTGTCAATCACAGGAAACTATCAGTCAAATGTTAATAAGGCAAACAGGTCTGGAGTTTGGTGAACATTATAAAACTTTTTTTGAAATGATGGCAAGTTTAGCAACAAAAACATTTTGGGGTATCTATTTAACTTGAAATAGTTTAAAATTCAAAGCCCTTAAACCCAAAGAGAAAAATGACCCTCTTTTTAAAATCACCTACCCGAGCCTGGTAATTCCTGGAAAAATCTGAACACCACCACTGGAGAAGTGAGCTCATCTTCCACCTGAAAAATGCAATCTGTGGATTACCAAGTAACAGGAAATCCCAAACCCCTAGAAAACGAAACAGTGAGCTCAAAAACTAGGCTACGTATGCTTTACTTGCTCAATAAACACAAAAAGTTCAAAGCTTAATTTCAGTTGCTAGAGAAACAAAAATCAAGGGTTTGGTAAAATTCTTAGAAATAATTATAAGCCTGTCCCGAGAATAGATGGCTGAAATACCTTATCTGACACTGACACACTGAAAATGAAAAAGCAGGAGGAAACGTGCATAATTACAGATAAACATGGGTCTGACATGAAAGACCAAAGACGACAAGGAAGGAGTAAGCTAGAATCAGTGTTGAGAGTCAGAATTTTTAAGAATCCAGAAATGTTGCTACCACAAGCAGGGCTGACTGGAACTTCTTCTACTCATAAAAAGGAACAAGTACTTGCCCCTCACCTTGTAAAACTCTCCGAACAGGATGCAAGTCCTGCTGGCAATGTGGATAATCACAGTCTAGAATTGCATCTGTGTATTTTCTAAAATCACTGACGCGGTACTTATATTTGGGACAGGCATCTGACAACTGACTTCACTGACAGACTTCGTAACATGAAGAAAGACATCCCTGCATTAAGATAAGCCAGCAGTGGGCTCACGCCCCCCACTGAGCACACGGACAGTCGGCCATCAGCTTCACCGTGGGGTCAGGACACAAAGGGAGCGGCAACACCCTTGACAGACTGTGGCATCTGAAGTGGGCCTGGGGTGGGGGGAGTGGGGGTGACTCAGCACGTGACAATGCCAGTGCTACAGCTCTAGTCTTCCAGTCTGTTTCCCAAGGCTCTGCATGTGGTGCCTCGCTCGTAGGGCCACAGCTGGACGTGCTGCCGGGAAAGATGGAAGTCGCAACCCAAGATCTTCTCTATTCAGCTTTTCAAGGGAGCAATGGATGTGATTCATGATCAAGGAAGACGTGCATTCAAATCTGCCCAGTATTTATTGAGCCAATTCCTGTGCTTTCATCTCGATTATCTCTTTTACTTTTCACATAAACAAATAAACCTACTACCTTTAAAGTTAGAGGGGTTTAGTATGTATGGAGAACGGAATAAGCCCAAGAAGGAACTGGGAACAGTGACAAAATTCTACACCCACCCCCCTGTTCTCAGGTAGGATAAGGCAGGATGACTTGAGTGCCAAGACTTCTACAGTCTTCTGTTTCTTATTTCTTTGAGCTCAGTGGTCTCAAATGTCAGTGTGTGTAAGAAGTGCTGTACAGGGTCATATATGTAGAATTCTGGTTCTGGCAACATGGTGGACCAAGCTAACACTGACGTCATCAACTCTAAAAACCTGAAATGCTTGATTAAATATAACCAACAACGAAGAGAAGTTCAAATCACTGCTAGGCTCACAAAGAAGGCGAATCCAGAAAGGAGAGAAAACAGAAAGAATATTAGGACGCTGCGCTCATGGGCTGGGGGGAGGGGAGCACACATGGGACCTGGCACTTGGCTTTAATGTCTGAGGTCTTGGGTTTTTAAGCCCACGTGAGGGATAGTGCTGAGTTTACATACAGCTAGGGCCCTTGAAAAACACTCCTTATGAAAAGACAGAGAGAAAAACTCAACCCACTCATCAGTAAGAAAGCTTAACTCTACCTAAGGCTCTGTAGAGAGAGAAAAGAATTCTCTCCTGAGAAATCAAAACGTCAGGTGTGCACCGCACCCGGGCTCGATGTCCTCTGTGGTGTTAAGACTCCTGAAGTTGTGAAGCCAACATAACAAACAGAACTAGGCCAGTCACACAAGAAAAAAAATATCTAGCTCCTAACAGAAAAATATCTACACACACAGGGAGCAGGAGTCAGCAGACGCAGCTAAGAGGATGATCTGTGGCCCCAAGAACCGAGACACTGAAACAACCATCGGAAACAGACCACCGTAACTGTGCTAAGCAGAGGGCCAGAAACCTTTTTTTCTTTTAAGATAATTTTAAAAGAGAGAATAACTTGAAAAAGAACTGAAGAGAGTATCCTGAAATGGAAGAGAGGTCACCGAAAGGAAAAATGCTGTGAATGGGTGAAACAGCACATCAGATGCAGCTTAAGGGGAAACTACTGAACTCAGAGAAGGATGTGAAGGGATGAATGCCCTAGAAGGCAGCAGAGATGGAGAGATAGATGTGTCCAAGAGACCGATGGAAGATGGAATGACAAGGTTCCATTTGCAGCTAACTGGTGTTCCAGAACATACGACTAGAGAAAGAGGCCATATTTGAAAAACTGAATTTTTAGCATTGAATTAAAAAAAAAAACAGGAAAAGAGTCCTCACATTAAATAAAGACAAGTCCCAAGCAGGATTTAAAAAAAAAAGTCTTCGTGTGGATAAATCATGGTGGAAGTGGCAGAACACTATAAAGCCCAAGAAAGCCTTCAAAGTCAGCACAGATGTAAACACGGAACCATGTTCACTGCCCCACGGAGGCATTTGGGATTTTCAGGCACAAGGGTGACAATGGTGAGTTTCCCCTTATATGCTGACTTTAGAGGGTAATCCACATGCTGGGTGAGAGTCCAGGAAAACAACGGCCTTTTCAGAACGCAGCTGCAGACGAGACCTGAATTGGTGCAGCGGTAAAGCAGGGCACGAGCACCACCCCCGGTCCTCCAAGAGGCCTCGGAGCTGGTGGTGGTGAGCGGGCGAGAGGGCATGTGTTTCTGGGACGAGAGGAGCTCCTGAAGGGCTGTCCAGATGGGAGGGAAGCAGCCCTGGGGGCTTGGAGGAGGAGTTACTGCGCAGCAGAGAAGCTGTTCTCGGGTTCAAGTCCTGGCTTTGGCCCAGACTAGTTACGAGACTCTGGACACACAACTAATCTGAGCAACAGAAATGCAGATAGAAACCCTGGCCTAGAGACTTCCTGTGAGGATTCGTGGGTCAGTATCTCTGAAAGCTGTGGCGAGGAGCAAAAAGACATTTAATAATTACTTATATTTTATGGCGCCCTGCAATCTTCACCTTGCTTTCCCATACATTATCTCATATGCCCTCCATAACAAGCCACAGGGGCAGGATGAATTAATTTCTCCTGTAACTGACCTGAGATAGGATGGCCACTGGTTATGAATACAGGATGTGGAGTGTCCATCCCAGCCTCCTAGCTGTGCAGCCTGGGCGCTCACCTCACCTGTCTGTGCCTTACTTTCCTCACCAGTGAAAGGGAACAACCACTGCGTCCAACTCAGATTCGATGTATTTATTCACACTTGAATGCCTACTCTACGCCAAGTACGCTTGGCATAGGACGTAAAACTGTGAAAAAACAGACAAAAGTCCCTGCCTTTACAAGCCTTCTACAGGGAAAAACAGACAATGAACAGATATGTAACATGATTTTAGGTAGTAGTAAGTGCAATGAAGAAAAAAAAACCCAGAGCAAGAGAGTGATGGGTGGTGGTGGGTAGTCAGGGACGGCCCCTCTGAAGAGGTGATCATTTGAACTCAGATCTAAAGGATAAGAAACCAGTAATGAGAAGAATTAGGGGAACAGTATTTCCAGGTAGAGGGAACAGCATGTACAAAGGAGACTTGTGAGGGTTAAATGAAATAACGTATATAAGGGATTTAAGACCACGTATGGGACACGGCAAGCATTTTACAAACAGCAGATGTGATGGTGGTGGTGATGACAACAGATTACTGGCAGGCCACAATGCCTCACAGTGTCTGCCAGTAACTGCATCCCTACTGAGAAGAGCAGCCATGGCAGGGTTAGGCCTGGTTCCTACGTGGCCTTACAAAGATGTTCCAAACCAACTGGTGATTAATTAGCACCATCAGATTCTCCTGACTGAAGGAGAATGAGGAAGGACAGGACGTGAGGAGGAGCCCGAGCAGGCTGAGCAAGGGAGGGACGGGAAGTACACAGGCCCAGCACTGCCTCGATCCCTCCCGGCGTGCTCATTCCAGTCTAAAAATTTCTGTTTGCAGTCAAAGGAGTCCAACCAGCACACCTCACTGACAGCTGAGCTCACAGGCTTATGGAGGGCAGAGAGTGAGTCAGTGTCACAGGGCCCCCGTGGTACTGCTGAAACTGGAACCCAAGTCTCCTGACTTACTCACCCCGCTGCTTCTCCAGCAGGCCACTCTCCTCTTCCAAGCTTGGACTTGAGTTTCAACTCAGGCCAACTGAATAGCTCCAAGCTTCTACTCAGAAGGCAATGCAGAGCAGCCCCCATTCACAGCTGCTTAAACCAAACCATGTACGAAAGTGGAAATAACCTGTACTCACATGAGCCCCAAATAAACTCAAACATTAGTTTTAAACTTGACTGTACCCTGCAGAACTGTCAAAGAAACACCAGCGACCCTGTTTAAATTAGAATTGACCTATACATTTTCTGAAATTCTAAAATGAAGCAAAACATGAAAACATTCAAATCTGAACTAATACTTGATTATCAGCCCCCTAAATCCTCACTTCCTTGTCTAGTTACTGGCCTTAGGGTGCAATCTCTGACAGATGCTGGTATCTTTCAGGAAGACACCAGGGCAAGAGAAGCAGGGCCATCTGCTTTTCTCTGCCTTATTCCCCTTCCTACAAATGACTACTCTGGTGTCAGAGGGTTTCAGAAAGAGTAGCCCAAAGCGCTCTATGAGACAAAATGATTTTTCACTTCGGGAAGATGGGTGTTCTAAAAATCCTTGGGCAGGTGAAGTCAATGATGTTTGTTACCTCTTCATGCAATTCTGAATTTTAACAGAATAAAAACTGCAAATGGATTTTATGAAAAGCACTGCAGGTGTTCAAACAGTGTATGAGGCAAATTTCTAGGCTTTCTGCTAACTGTATAATTAAGCCATCAGTACCCACATGATTCTCTCCTAAACAATGTGGTTTTTCTGGAGCTGCCACAATTCCACTGACAGGCATAAAATCTGGAGAAAATCATTCTATGCTGCTAAAGTTAAAAGTTATTTACTTTTAAAACAGATCAAATTATATACTATACCAAGATTTTGATGTGGTTCACTTTCTTCAAATTTTCTTGCAATCGTTGACTCTGCAAATGACAAAAAAATAGCTTATGTAATTTCATTAGACAGACACAGTATATTAAGAAGCAGTTTTCATGAGGGTCTTTGCAGGTCTGCAAACAAGAATCTCACGCAGATAAAGTAAAGCTATCTGCGACTCAGTGATTTCTAAGTTCAGCTGCCAATTTTGACATTTCAACATCTGCAAATGTTCCCCAATCTTTCAGTTATACGTTACATTCAGTGGTTCAGAAGAGCTTTCTCTGATGAGACATATGTGAATTTGTCACACCAGCAATACAGGTCATTCATTCAAAACCTACTGAGTGCAAGGCAACAAAAGCAAAATTGAACAAGTGGGATGACATCAAACTAAACAGCTTCTGCACAGCAAAGGAAAGGATCAACAAAACACAAAGGCAACCTTGGAATGGGAAAACATACATGCAAACTATTCACTTGATAAGGGGTTAATATCCAAAATATATTAAAAAAAAACTCATACAACTCAGTAACAAAAAACCCAAACAATCCAATTAAAAAATGGGCAGAACATCTGAACGGATATTTTCCCAAAGACACACAGATGGACAACAGAAACATGAAAAGATGCTCAACATCCCTAGTCATCAAGGAAATGCAAATCACAAACCACAATGAGATGCCACCTCACACCTGCCAGAAAGGCTGTTATCAAAAACACGAGAAATAGCGAGTGTTCTCGAGAATGTGAGAAAAAGGGACCCTCATGCATATTGGTGGGAATGTAAACTGGTGCAGCCACTACAGAAAACATTTGGAGCTTCCTCAGAAACTTAAAAAATGTAACTATTATGCAATCCAACAATTCTGAAGAACATGAAAACACTAATTCGAAAAGAAACAGGCACCCCCATGTTCACTGTAGCATTATGTACAATAGCCAAGACATGGAAACCACGTAAGTATTCATCAATGAATGAACGGATAAAGATGTGATATGTACACACACAAAGGCAAACAATCAGCCATAAAATGGAACGAAACCTTGCCACCTGCAACAACATGGATGGACCTGGAGGGCATTGTGCTAAGTGAAATATTACAGACAAAGACAAATACCATATGACCTCACTTACATGTGAAATCTAAAACAAAACAAAGCTCATAGCTACAGAGAACAGACTGGTAACAGGTTGCTAGAGGAGGGGGCTGAGGGTGGGTGAAGGGGACTGAAACGTACAAACTCACAGTTATAAAATAAGTCACAGGGATCTAATGTACTACGGATATAGTTGGTAACTCTGTCTTAATTTTAATACTGTATTGCATATTTGAAAGCTGTTAAGAGAATAAATCTTAAAGGTCCTTATCACAAGAAAAAACACTTCTCCATGACTCTGTGTGGTGATGGATGTTAAATAGAATTACTGTGATCATTTAACAGTGTATACAAACATCAAATAACCATGATGTGCACCTGACACTAATGTAATGTTCTTTATCAATTATACCTTAAAAAAACCCCAAAACTACTGAGCGCAAATGTGTGCAAGGCACAGTACCTGATCCTGGGAGGAAAAGCAAAGGTAAACGAGAGTGCACAGCACTGTTAACAATTGCTCAGGAGCATGGAGTCTGGAATAACCACGTATGGGTTCAAAACCTGGCTCTGCCACTTACCACCTCAGCCTCTCTGCTTCCACTACCTCAACTATAAAATGGGGACTGATGGTATTTATCTTAAATGAGCTGACATACGTGAAGTGTCTAGAACAGGGTGGGCATTATATAGATGAGGATGACCATCATCATCATGTTAATATCTCAATCCTCATTCTCTCATCACTGACATGGGGACAAGATAATATATAATCTCATGGGGCGGGGGGTCACTAACAGTTGTACACTGGAAAACCCATCATGGAAACTAGCTCTTTATCAGTGGACCTTACCATCTAGTGAAGCCGTAGGGATCAAATGAGACACCGCATCTACAGTGCTTCAGTGTGCCTGGCACTGAGTAAATGCTCTGTAACTGCTTCCCATGAAGATGAAGATATGGCAGGGAGGAATAGAGGGAGGAGGAGGATACTGATTTTTGCTCAGGGAACGCATGGCCTGATACAGACCACCAGGCGTGAAGGTACCCAGAAGACCGCGCCTCCTAACCCTCCACGCGGTCTCACGCGTGCATTTAGCAGTGGTGGGTCAGCGGCAGGGCGTCAGTCAAGTCCTCAGGAACGTGTGAATCAGCTACAGTGTTAGCGGCAGGAAGATGCCAGAGCTGCAGAGATCTCAAGGGTCTGGTAGTTAATGTCGTCATTATTTTCCTGCACTTGCTAAGCCAAAGGGGACTGAATAACTCCCTGGAGTACCCAAACCTTCTCCAAATTGACTAAGTTACTACGGTGATGAAAGCTTCTCCTTCCAAAGAACCAAAACTCAAGATGTGAGCCAACAGCTCAGTGAGAAATGTTTTTAAAAATACGCTTCTGTAAACATAATGAATATAAATCTTAGTATTTCTTAATGTAAAAATGAAACTACTTCATTTAGAATGTTTCTATTTCATTAGAAACTAATGTTAGAATGAACTATCCCAACATTATGAACCAAAGGATTCCTGCTACAGTCATAAGAAAATACTAACTTTTCTTAAACATAAAAATCACATGAGGAAGTGCCAATTCCAACAATATATTTAAAACAAATATTTATTTTTAAACCTGTCTGCATACCTTACTAAATGATTAGGCACTACTATACAAGTATGAACTTTACAAGTACGAACTCATTAAGTCCTTGCAACAATCTTCCATTACATCATCACCTCTATTTTACAGGTGAGAAATCAGAGGTACAGAAAGGCGACATGCTTTAGACTTGGTAGAACTCAGCTCTAAAACTGCTTTCTCAACTACAGCATAATTATACATTTTTCACAATTAGAACACCTCAAATACATAGTAAGAACTGTCCCTAGAGCCTTGCAATTTGGGAACCCCAGCCAGCTGGTGTTAAAAATATCTTCGCCATCCTTATCCCCAGCCCCAACCATCACATTCCTTTACTGTCAAGGGTCAGTCAGTGAGGTGGACGGTTTATCCCTGCTTCTGCATCCTTCTTCACTCCTTGGCTGTCACCTTGTGACTTCTTTTCTCATCGCATGCTGACACCACATTAATTTAAATCTGATTTCATTTGAACACAAATGCTGGGACAGCTCCAGCAGTCTCTCCCAGAACTTTGAACAGGAAACCTATACATGCAGGGCAATTAATCTGCTTGCTTATGAGAAGGGAAATCCAGACAAGGTATTGGATGGCAAGTAAATCGATGAAGTATTTTTCTGTCTGTGTTTGTCAAGGAATATCTGTGATTCATTTAAACTTCAGGTTTTCACTCACCAACTGACAGGCATGCTTAATCCTCTCCACAATCCCATCAAGTCCCAAGTATTGTAAAGACAACCACAGAGGCAGGGCACGGAGTTTGTCTGCTGGCTTATTTGATGTAAGACCGGCAACTAAAGTCTACAAGAGCCAAAATGAGTTTATTAATCAAAGCCAATGAAATCACACAGCACAACTAACCAGTTACCATTTACTACGCACTTAGTCTGTGTCAGATGCTATGCCAGGCACTTGGCTTGCATTATTCATTTGCTCTTCCAACAACTCTGTGAGGTAAGTATTCTCAGCAACTTAGCTCAGAGACCTTGCTTTGTCCAAGGGTTCATGGCTAAGGTGTGGCAACACCAGGATGAAAATCCAGATGGGTCACATCCCAGAACCAGAGCCTCTTAGCCATTCAAGAGGCAGCTCCTTCCAAGGCTGTTCTGAGCATCCTCAAGTACCCGGCCATTACCACCTGAGCAAGGCACTTGAGAAAAATCACTGAAAGCTTGTTTTGTACATGCCTATCACTGACTGATCCACTATCAAGAACCACCACTGTGCTTTTAAAAAAGTATCATATTATAAACTTTTAGACAATGTGGATGATGTGTTTTAAGTATTAAAATACTCTGAATCATTAATTCCACTTCTGGGAACCTAGTCTAAGGAAATAATCTGAAACACAGAAAGATGCTCATTATTTCAGTAACAAAAAGTCAAAAACAGCCTTAGAATTATTAAATAAATAGTGGTATTTAAGTGATGGAATATTATACAGTGATAAAAAAGTTCTTCATACACACGGGGAAGTATGGGGAGATAAACAGAAAAAGATATATGGTATAGTTTCAATTATGTTAAAAAAATTTTGGGGGGGGAAAAAAGTCACAGAGGAGCATCAAGGAAAATTTCAATTTTTCCTTTTTTTGTATCTTGCCCCCAGAAGCAATAATGTTCCTTAGCCATTCGCACTGCCTCCCAGTGGGAGCAAGCTTACCAGGGCAGGATCGTCATGTTTATAAAGGGTAATGGCAGGAACAGCTGGCAAACCCAGCCACGGGCCCGGAGTCAGGGTCATGCTATCGCACTTGGTAGCGGCCTACCACAGAGAGAACAACTTCTTGTTAGACTATCAAGATATACCAACCCAGCACCCTCCTCCATTCAAAAAACCGTGAAGAGTCATAAGGGATTAAGTGATTTTAAATTCCTTTTTAAAAACACAGTATTTAGTAGATCAGCAACTTACCAGCACTGACGAGGAGACATAACCTAGAGCCAGTGTTGCCAGATTCACACTGGAAGGAAAAACACACATCTAAGAACTAATTGTTTACTGCTGCTTATTCACGAAATATGTACTTTCAAAAAAAACCCAAAACCAGAAAGTTTGTGCTAATCCAAGTGACATATATTTACATGCCTTTCAGCTATGTTGGTAGCTTTTATAACAGCAACATAAAGTGTGGTATACACAAATTTCAGGAAAACCTCAAAAATGAATTTTAATCCAAATACATTTCAGGGGATGTCTTCTGCTTATTTAGTGTAATGGGTGTCTCATGTTCTATCTTTGATAGGTATTATTTCCCAGTCATCATTTTTCCCAGAGGGACAGAACTGAAAAGCAATGCACCGTGTGTGACGTGCTGGGAACAGACCACCTGGGCTGCCCTGCGGCTCCTCCCCACTCTGCTCTCAGCAGCGCTCCCACAGCCTTCCGGGAAACCACTCCAATCTCCTCTCTGAGACCACGGCTTTGCTCCAGAGGTGGGCAAATAACCTAACCATCCCAGTATCACATCTCTCTGGCCACGGTGACTGGATCACGATGAGACTGCTGCTGGGGCTTCCGACCCTCTGGACACACACCTGGAAAGGTGGCTGGAAGGGCTGCAGCTACTCTGCACCATAATCGGAGAGTCTGTCTACAGGTGGAACCAACGTGGAGGAAGTTCAGCCAAGTGACCGAGGGGGGCGGAAGGGGAGACGCTGAGTCATGGTTGACGTTGCGCCTAAGGCCAGTCCTGTCAGTTATGTGAGCCAATAACATCTCCTCTTGCTTAAGCCAATTTGGATAATTTTGTCATCTGCAACCCACAGAGCCCTGAGTGATAAATGTCATGACAGAGTGAGCACCCGGATGTCCGCTCTTCCTGGGCACTCTGTGCAGGGCCCCCGTGGAGCCAAACTCCCCTCCACTCACCCCTCCACGTGAAGCCATATGCCGTACTGCTCACAGAGTTCTTTCAAACGCCCGATCTTATCCGTGTGCCCTACTGCTGCAGTTCCTAGGATAAAACACACACAAGCGGATACTACTAGGAACAAATATTTTCTGAGTCTTTATAGCATGATAAAAACGTCTAAATACGTTATCTCCCCATGAGGGAAGTAACATATCTCTGATTTTCTTTGTGGACTGGCTTAAAATCAACTCTTGCAAACTGATTTTTCAAGTTTCAGCGTGCGTACTCTTCATTACATGTATCTATAAAATCAAGCTTGTTCACTGCATTATTTAAATCCTGTATATACTTACTTTCTATCTACTTAATCTGCTGTTTCATGAGAAATATATTCAGGTCTCCCACCAAGATCGTGGGTTTGTCAATTTATGCTTATATTCTATCAATATTTCTTTACTATTCCCTCATTATATTTCAAAGTTATACCCATAAGCACTCATAGCTATCATCTCTCTAAGCAGATGACATGAATTATTACTAACATGAAGGCTATTTTATCTCACACCAACCTTGCTGCAGTACTTCTGCTCTGTTAGCACTTGCCCAGACATCCCTTTTCCATTCTTACTTTTTGTCGCTTTCTGGATTGTTTTTATTTACGCGTGTCCCTTATAAAAAATATGTAGATGAATCTGAAGGGTTTTTTTTAAACCTAATTTGAGAGGTTCTTTGTTTTAATGTAGAAAGCCTTCTGCAGTCAGTCTAAATATATTAAACATGTTGACCCATTCCCCTGGTGATCTGCTGACATTACAGGTTTTATTGGGCAGATCCTCCTCACAGAGCATCAGGCCTAAATTTCCAGTGAGCAGAACCCACCTAGTAAGATTTCAAATGCTCAGCAACTTCCTCAAACACGACTAATACAAGTGCTTCTTTTGCAGGGGTTATGTGAGGAAAAGGGCTGAAAACTTTCCCCCCTACAAAAATCTGTCTCAAATAAAAAAAAAAGTCTTAACTGACTCATAGTTGAAGCGAAATCACATGTCAACGCATGGGTTGTATCACATGACCCTTCCACCAAAACGTCAAGCACAGTGCCCTGCTGAAGTGGCGGGACCACATGCAGGTTCTTTTTTGGCAACGTCTGCTGGCTAACCACTGGGATGTGGACTCCAGTGAGGGCAATGCAGTCAAACTGGCAAATCACTCAATTACACGTTCACTGCAGCCTCTCCCGTCCATCAAGTGACTGACAGTAAATTGGTTATGTTTCTTTTTTCAACTCACAATGTACTAAGTCAGGCAAGAAGTGGTAGTTTTTCCGCCAGCAGTAAGGTGGACATATGTCTTTTCTGTTTATTATTTTCTTAAAATACTCAGCTTTACTGATTGAAGTATAATTCACATACAATAAAATCCACTCATTTAAGGGTATGGTTGAATGAGTTTTGACAAATGTATACAGTGTGTCAACACCGTCACCCTAAAAGCTCCCTCATCCCTCCTGAGGCTTCACTCTTCTCTCTATTCCTCACCGGCCCCAGACAACTCTGATCTGTTTTGTCACTATGTAGTTTTTTTCTTCTTAGGATTCCATATAAAGGGAATCACAGACTATGTAACTTTTTTTTTTAAGTCTGCATTTTGGCCCTTCGCATGCCTTTGAAATTCATCCGTGTTGATATGTGCATATCAGTAGATATTTCCATTTATCAGTATCCCCCGATGTGTTCACAACACAATCTGTTTATCCCTTCGCCATGGATAAGGGCGTCCTGGTTGTTTCCAGTAATGAATACCGCATCCCTACAGCAGCTTAAGAGCTCCAGTAACTCTGTGTCCTCATCAGTGTCTGGCACTGTACTTTTAAAGTTTTCTCCGTTTTTTTTTTTTTATTTTTATTTTTTTGGTGGGGGAGGAGGGAATTAGGTCTATTTATTTATTTTTAGAGGAGGTACTAGGGATTGAACCCAGGACCTTGTGCACGCTAAGCACGCACTCTACCACCTGAGCTACACCTTCCCCCCAAATTTTCTCCATTCTAACAGCTCACTGTGGTTTTAATTTGCATTTCTCTAATGACTAACAATGTTAAGCATCTTTTCAAGTACTTACACATTCATTTATTTTCTTTGGTTAAGTATCTACTCAAATCTCTTGTTCACTTTAAAAACTGTGTTGTTATCTACTTAATATTGAATTGTAAAACTTCCTTATATATATTTTGGATACACTTCTTTATAAAAAAAATTGTCTTGTAAATATTTTCTTTCTCTCAGGCTGTAACTTGCTTATTTTCTTATCAGGGACTTCTGAATAGCAGAAGCTTTTAATTTTTAATCAAGTCCAATTTATGGTTCTGCCTTTTGTGTCTGAGGAAATCTATGCCTAAGTCAAGATCATTAGGATTTTTTATATTTTATTCTAGAAGTTTTCTCATTTTGGCTCTTATGTTTAACCCTATGAACCATTTATAATTAATTTTTGCATATAGAATGAGGTAAGGGTTAAGAGTCAGTTTTTTCCCATATGGATATCCAACTGTTCCAAAACCATGGGTGGAAAAGACTATCCTTTCTAAGTTACCTTGGCATCTTTGCCAAAAAAATCAAGTGCCCATACACGTGTGAATCTACTTCTGAACCCTCTATTCTCTTCAGTTAATCTCACACTCTCAATTATTTTTAGCTAAAATCCAGACAGAGTAAGTCTTCCAATTTTATTCCTTTTCAAAATTGTTTTGCTACCTTAGATCCTTTGTATTTCCATATTTTATAATCAGCTTATCAGTTTCTATAAGAAACTATAGCCTACTGAGCTTTCGATAGGGACTGAGTTGAATCTACAGACTGATTTGAGAGGTGTGACTTAATAATACTGAATCTTCCAACCAAAGCAAATGGCATATCGTTCTATTTATTTGAGTCTTCTAGAATTTCTCTCAGCAACATTTTGTAGTTCTCAGTATACAGATCTTGCATCATTTTGTGAAAATTTATCTATAAAGTTTTTTTGATACTCTTATGAATGGCATTTTAAATTCAATTTCAGCCGCTCAATTGCTATTGTACGGAAATCCTGCAGCCTTCATAGATTCGCTCATTAGTTCCAGTGGCTGTTCTCCGAGGTTTCCTTAGGACTTTCTATCTATACAATCATGCCGTCTGCAACAGACAGTTCATTCTTCTTTTCCAATCTGTATGTCATTTAATTATGTTTCCTGCCTTACTGCACTAGCTAGAACTTCAAGTACAATGCTGAATATAATCTGGTAGGCAGAGTAGAAAGTAGTAGTTCACCTGACGTCTAGAAGGTGGACACTCAAGTATTTAAAAACCCAATTTAGAAAGGAAGGAGTAGAGAAGCACTTACAACCTAAATGAAAAAAATATATATACAAACAAGGTACTCTCCAAACAAACCAACAATTAAAGGGAATCTAGTAAGCCACAACTCCAGTGTTTACATTCTCACCACAATGCTGATACAGACTATCCTAAACACGTGGCACACAAACATTTCTTAAGACTTGGTCTGTTTTAGGTGAAGTTCCTGGCCTCTTTCTTCTATGTACAAAATGGAACACTCAGGTTCATGATACCGACCAGCATTTGCAACAAGCAACAGGGGCAGTCTTCCTCGTTCTATATCATCTTTAATCAGTTTCTCCAGGAAGGCAACATCCTGGGATGAAAAGACAAACCACAAAAACATGAGACAACCAACATAAAAGCTATACAATGAAAAATTATAACTTCCAAAAGAAGATGACTCTCAAAATTTATCAAATCAATTCTTGACAATTTTTCTTTTTCCTCCAATGATAGATGTGAAAATAAACCATTTTCCTTAAAGACTAACTAGAAAAATCAATTAAATGAGATCAAAGTTAAAAACTACACATACAGAACCAACACTTTTCTAGTTTTAAACATTTACGTTAAAAAAAAGTTTTCTCAACCACCCAAAAACAGCTAAAAATGTATCTCTAATATCACTCATTGATGTAGCTAAACCAGAAAACCTACCTTGAAAAAGACATGCAGAACCCTAAAACCTACCCCTTTCGCTTCTGACTTCAGGATGGAAAGGCTTATCACTTGCATGTCTAAAAGTAATCGAATCCCAAGGATTCCAGTAAAGAATCTCACTTTTAAAATCTGCCCACTCACAAAGGCAGGCACCAGTGATAACCACCTGAAAGGATGAGCTTCAGGAGGAATTTCCAGCTCTTAATTGGACTCCATGTTTCTTTTTTCTTTTTTTGTCTCTCAGAGAGAAAAAAAAATTTTTTTTTTAATGAAAGTACTGGGGATTGAACCCAGGACCTTGTGCATGCTAAACTAAGCACACGCTCTACCACTGAGCTATACCCTCCCCTCTAGACTCGATACTTCTACTTAAGGCAGGTAATACAGTGGTTACAAGATCCCTTAAGAGCCAGGTGCTCCTGATCTTGATGCCAGACAACCTCCATGGACATTCAAACCTGGAAGCATGTTTTATGCAATGGGAAGATCTAAGCAATACATGAATAAGCAAATAATTATCTGGAGGCCAGCAAAGAGAATTTCAGTTGAAAAGAAGGCACAGTTTCAAAACATAATTCTGTATTATCTGACAAACCACAAGGAGAACTCACCATCTGATGCTGGGACCCAAACATAGTGTTACAGGGCACACGACACAAGCAGGGGAAGGGCAAGCCAAGCTGCAAGAAGAAAGATACCATTTTACAAGAGAGACTTTTGTCACTATTCACTTAGGCCCCCAAAAGATTATGGCTCTAAGACAAGTCACAATTATTCTTTTTAAACAATCTCTCTCTTTAGGAACTCTTAATATTATAGTAGATGTTAAAGTATATCTACAAAGTCAAGCCAAAAAAAAAAAAGGATAAAATTCCCAGGAGATGTCTTTTAAGAGAATATAGACAATGTAAAAATTTCTAAATGAGTCAACTAAATGAATAACTAACAACTCTCTTACTAAATGAGTAACTATCTTTGTTGTATTCTAGAATATACCAAAAAACAAAAACAAAAACAAAAACTTTTCCAAATGGAGAAATAAACTGAGCCCTGAGAATTTTGGGGAGATAATTTAGATAACTCCTCCAAGCATTCAAACCAGCGAAAGGGAACAGTATCTTATTTATGGGTCCACCAGCTCCTAAAAAGCAGTAAATCCAGACTAGCAGATGTATACTTCTTAAGAGAAAGGAAGTCAGTGTTATGCAGGGAGATAGTAATTGTCAAATAAATTTTATATTCTTCATTTTTAACCTCTAAATCCTTGAGGATTTTAAAGTTTAGAATTTTTTTTAACATTTGCAGCATATTGCTCTGTATAACTAAGCCGTGGAAGTGTATCAAGACCAAAAATTTAACGAATACTTTATTCACACTTTTTCCCCTTAAAGGACTTTCTTTTAAATTGTAAAACTGAAACTCAAGAAAAATAATAAAAAAATATAGAAAAGTGAAAAATCCCCACCCCCATTAAGCCACCAATCCACCACTGTTAACAGGTTAGTACAGAACCTTTCAGACATTTTTTAGGCAAAAAATTAGTATTAAATAAATGTATTTTCTAAGTATAAAATACACATGCATACAAGCATGTATACACTTTTTAAAACACAAACATGGCCAGCTTCTATATACAGTTCTGCCACCTGCCTTTCCCATGTAACAGGACATCTTTTGAAGATTGGATTGCTGTTGCAAGACAGTCTTGAGTCCCTAAGAGCTTGGCCTACAGTAGGTACTCAAATAGTATAATTTGTTTCATTTTTCTACAGGGATATTATAAAACCCCTCATTTTGTAGAGCCTCAAGAAGAGGACATAATTTCTTGCTACCAGTGGCCATAGCTCAGAATCAATTTAAGCCCTGAGTTTCTTCCATGTATCTCCCTGGGACTCCTCCATCTTACAAAAGAGAACCCCTCCGATCCAATGGGTTTTGCCTTAAAACATTCTTGGCCGCAGCAACATGGATGCTCCTAGAGAATGTCATTCTAAGTGAAGTAAGCCAGAAAGAGAAAGAAAAATACCATATGAGATCGCTCATATGTGGAATCTAAAGACTCATGGACAGAGAATACAGACTTGTGGTTACCAGGGGGGTAGAGGGTGGGAAGGGATAGATTGGGATTTCAAAATTGTAGAATAGATAAACAAGATTACACTGTATAGCACAGGGAAATATACACAAAATGTTATGATAAATCACAGAGAAAAAAATGTGACAATGAGTGTGTATATGTCCATGAATGACTGAAAAATTGTGCTGAACACTGGAATTTGACACAACATTGTAAAATGATTATAAATCAATAAAAAATGTTAAAAAAAATTCTTGGCCAAGAGTATTAATTTCTTGTCTCAGGGTAGCCCCCTAATCAGGCTACATGCACTATGAACTTTACAAAATGATAATGCCCTTTAATCTAGTAATTCTACACTGGCTTTGAGGAATACAGAAAAAGCCTATGCACAAAGACGCACCGTACAAAGCGCATTTCCTGAAAATGCTCATAAAAAGCAAAAGAACGCAAACACTAACTGTCCGAAAGGGGAAATAGTAAAATATACACTCACTTGAAGGAATATTATGAAGACATTAAAAATAAACTTTACTTTGAGGAAAACATGGTAAAACATTGGTAAAACACGATATACACCTGTTATAACAGTTAAGTGAAAAAAGCCAGATATAACCATGTTAAAAACACAGACACTCTTTGATTAGTCTAGAAAGAAAGAAAGTAAAATGGTGACTGTGGTTGCCTTTGGGTAATAAAAATAAATAAATAAATTCACTAATACACATTTATTTTATAATGACAAAATAAGCATATAAGAAAATCAACTTTCTTTTCACTTGAAAAGAACAGCAGCTAAAGAAATGGGTCCACACACTTGAAAAAGTTCCAGGACAGAACAAAACATCATTTCTTTAAAACATTCACCTGATATCACATTACCTGATTACAAAGGTACTGGCCCAGGCCAGGCCTAGCAGCGGCACTAAGATATATAACAGGTTGCTTGTTATGTAACACATTGAACCCATCCACCACAAAGTCTTCATAACGAGAGTGAATGGCAAGCCTACAGATCTTTGCAAGTCCTTCTCTTTCTTCTTCATGGAAATAAGCACAGCCATTTTCATACCTGTTAAGAGACACTCATATGTCAGTATGTTCTTATCTCTGTTTAACTCAGATTTTATACTCCAATCTGGTAACCATGGAAGTAATTCTTTTCTCAACCTAGAAACTGTCACCTAGATCAGACAAGAGCCACCTTCATCTCAGGTGGCTGACAACTCCTTGCAGATGGAGGTCATATAGAACAGAGGCAAGGACACTTCATCCACATCCAACTCCAGAAAGAACAGAAACTATTAAACCAGCAGAGAATGGGAACTTATTTTACAAGAAAGCCGGCACTGGATAACGCAGGCAAGGTTCTTGGCAGAGTTCCAGCCCTAAAAGATTCAAACTAAGTAACATTGTTAAAAACGCTAATTAGGCTAACTTTTGCTTTCACTATTATCTCCTTGGGGCCTTTTATTCTTTTCAATCTCCAAGAGAAGGAGAGAGAGAGAATTTCAATTACAGATGTTGGATTTTCATCGGAACTGAAGGAAATTTCTCCTTTGCTATATGTAAAGCAAACTCATACTCTCACTAGTAAGCTCTTTACCAACATTTGAAAGCGAGTCTCCCAGGTTAAATGTTCCAATGTTAGGTAAGTATTCCTTTCCCATAAAAGTAATAAAATAAACATAAAAATACCATTGGTCCTGTGTCTTCTACTGACTCCTTAATCTACTAGAATTCCTTAATAATGCCAATATTATCACAGTATAAAGCAAATTTCAATTTCATAACACACACTCATCTTCCTTATGACAGCACAAGGCACCAAGGCACCAAGGCACAGCAAATACTTTGACTAAAAATATCTGAATCCAACTAGGGAGGGTATAGCTCGGTGGTATAGAGTGTACGCTTAGCATGCAAGAGGCTCTGGGTTCAATCCCCCATACATCCATTAAAATAAATAGATAAACCTAATTACCTACCGTCAAATAAAATAAATAGAAAATAGCTGAATCCATTTCACCACTATATCTTCCATCAGCATGTGCCAATCAGGAATCCTAAAAATAAGTCACTGTGGACATTATCCAACAAGCATCTGCTTATATTCTCAGCTCTTTACATATATTCATTCATTCATTTCAGTTCATTTAATCCTCACAACAATGTCATCAACTAGATACTAATGCTATCCCCATTTCATAGTAACGAAACTGAGGCATGGAGCGGTTAAGCAGCCCTTCCAAAAGGAAAGGGAAGAGGCAGATTTGAACCCAGGTAGCCAAAAAAGAGATCTCTCACAGTCTACACCCAACTCATAAATGTCTTTACTGGGAAAGGAAAACTCATTACCTGAAAATTCTGCATAGCCATAAGGTAGTGTCTGAAAGTATCCGAGTTGTAAGTTTTCTCAGCTTTTCTTTGTCCAGAGTTGAAATATAAGCCCCCAGACTGTGTCCCAACAAAGCAATATGACCTTGTTCTCCAATATGCTGGGTCCTGCCAACCAAATTTCATTAGATTAAAAAAGAAGTTACTAGTCAAACATAAATAAATAAAACTTAGAGACGGTATTCCAGGTATTTCTGTCAGATTTGAAATCCACTTAATGTGGACTAGAAGGCAGAAATAGAAATAAATTTAGAAAATTCAATGCATATAAGGTATAAATAGTCTGAAGAAATTTTTTTTAAAGTCAAGTCCTAGGAGACAAATAGCTTTTTTATTGCATACCTACTAAATATACAAACTGTTTTTGAATAATTTTCTCCAAAAGTGCTTTTAAAATTAAATACCAGTTGTAAGAACTGTGGAGAGTAGAGCTGAGATAAGATGTGCAGAAAATAATTTTAGAATCATTAGATGAAGATCAGTTCCCTGCATTAAATAGCTATTTATAACAATACAGCAAATTCAAGGGGAACTAGGTATTACTTTATATGTAATTAAAATGGATGGACTAATTTCCCTTATAAGGAATAAATATAATGAAGAAAAAGACAAAAAAATCAAACAGGATACTGGACAAAGAAAACAGCTCACAGAAATGGAAAACACACCAAAAGTCACTAAACCTAGTTTATGAGAAAACTGCAAATTAAAACTATGCTGAAATACCATTTCTCACCTATCAAGACTGACAATTAAGACTGATCCTTAAATCTGCTAACACCCTTGCAGGCAAAGGTGTGGGGAAAGGGGTGCTCTCATACACTGTGGGCGGGAAGGTAAAACTGGCACAACTTCACAAAGGGCAATTTGGCAATACCTGTCAACATTACATATGCATAAACTTATCTGGCCCACTTCTAGGACTTCAATCCCCAGAAACACTTGCTTCTATTACAAATGACACATGCAGAAAGTTAGGCTGCAGCAATGTTTGCAAAACATGAAGAGGAGACTAGTTAAATAAAACATGGCTCATCCATTCAAATAACACTAAATAGCTCTTAAAGGAGCTGATATGCCAGGAACGCCAAGACACAAATGAAAAAAGCAAGGCACAGAACAACGGGCACAGTATTTAGGAACTGGAGAGGAGTAAGCACAGACATCCTGCTTGTGTATACATATAAATAGAGTATCTCTGAAGAATACACAAGAAACTGGCAACACTTTAGAAAGGAGAACAAGGTAGTCCAGCAAAGATGAGAAGGAAAACTCTCTTTGTATACATCCTTCATATCTTCTGAAATTTGCATCGGGAGAACACATTACTTACTCTAAAAAATTAAATTTAAAACGAAGAGAAAGTGAAACTAAACAAATTGCTTGATAGATGAATAAATAAAATAAAATAAACAGATGATTCATAGACAACGTGGCCTGCCACCACTGAATCCAGCTGCAGCCCTTCTTAGCCATCAGAGGCACAGGCACAAGCACAGAAGCGACCAGAAACAGAAAAGCACAGTGGTTATTCTCTAGCCCCTGTGCCAGTCCCTCCTTAAGATATAATGCCATAAAAACTACAAGATTTTAGTAAATGACTTCCTTTTACAAAATATATTATCTAGAATATATAAATGTCCCTCTGAAAAGAAAAAAGTGAACATTGCTTTAATATAGTGCATAACTAGGAATGAAATATAGCTCATTATTGCAGCCACTGGTAAGAACGAAATCATTATCAAAATCAAGAACACATATACTTTCATAGACAAGCTGCCAACTGTTCTCCATTACCGGGTGCTCTGGGGCTCCTCATCTTCATCTCCGTGCATCAGATTCTGAACTAGCTGGAGGATGCTCACCATGTCTTGTCCACTGCGGAACAGAAAGAGTTGACAGACAGGTGGAAACAACACATATCCCCCACCTCTCACTATTTCTCTCACCTAAATTAGCTTTGATAAGTTTCCTTTTTCAATTGAGTAGCTACAACAGAAATAGTATGTTTTGAGATATAGAATACATTTTTTTAATTGAAGTATAGTCAGCTTACAGTGTGTCAATTTCTGGTGTATAGCATTGCGATACAGAATATATCTTTTTAAAAAAAATCTCAAATTATTAACTGAATTCTGAATGTAACTTAACTTGTGATTAATTAAATCTTCTACCTAAATTTGAATTTGATTTTTTTTTAACATTTTACCAGCTTTAGCAGTATTTCTCTATTTATTGATTTGAATCTTGGAGACTATTTAATAAGCATGTTATAAGGGCCAAGAGAGTCCTCAAAAGATGCTGGAAGGTCACCGAAGCAGCACAAATACTCTAATGCCACTGGTATATCTAGTTTACATCCATGAAGGAGTCTTGTCTATTTATTCTAACTTACACATGAAATGCAAGCATCATTTATTACCACCTCTTCCCCAAGCTAGGAAACTGTAGATTTGCTTAAAGTGTAAAAAAATTTACTTCTATTCAATATACATTTTAAAATGCTCATGACATGAGGAGGTAAAAACTTAGGAGGAATGTGAATGGTTGAAGTTGTAAGCAATGGCAGGGCAACTTGTAAAACACATGATGACAAAATACTATCACTCCATTAATGAGAATATGACTAACGAAAAGTTCTCTCTTTCGAATAAGCCCCGTGAAAACAATGTCCCAAAACCCACCCTCCTCAAGGTGCTGGTCTTTATGCGTGAGGGACTCTGGTCCTTGGGCACTGTGTAGAGATTAGGTCACGTGACCTGCAGCAAGCTACAGAGACTCACAAGCCCTACAGTACAGAATTGTGCGGATGCAGGTAGTCCATGGGAAGCATCTAATGCGGTGCCTGGTGCAGCACTAGCCCAGACGCTGGCTGCTAGCGTCGTTCGTGTGAGTACTCCCGACCAGCGCCTTTTAACGCCCTCCCATTCTGAGAGGATCAGGTGTTCCTGGTAGTGCCTCTTCTAGAGGAACTTCGGTGGTACCAGTAGAACCTGTTAATTCCCTTTATGGCCTGGGATGAGGAGATTATAGGATTTGGTTCCTGTTCTCAGTTGTAGACTGAACTTCGCCCTTAGAGGACTTCAAGTCGGCACCATTCATCCATAAGAGCAGGAACGCTTATTTTAAAATACTAGTATCTGGGTGTGCTACACAGAACATTTATTGGCACACTGGGATCCTTCTTGTATACTTTTCTTTTGCAACCCTGTACATATTCATATTCAGATCAAAGGACAAATTAAGGGAGTCGTACTGTTTACCTATGTTCAGTTTCCTGGTTGTAAAACAAACAAAAAAATAAGTTTGTCTGAGGGACACTGGGCTAGGACTTTAACTCCAGACTGAGTGCTAACATCCTGTGAAAATGTCAGTCAGGCAGCTACTTATTTTTCTGGTATTTTCCCTGCTAGCTCAAACCACAGACACTTGACGGGTTTACTTTTGTTGCCAAAAAATAGATCATTCTGCTAATAAATGGTTAGAGTTGATATTGTCCTTTCATTTACTACATAATAAAATGATAAATCTTATCAAGTTAAAATAAACTCTCACAATAAAGCTCTGTCTACCAAATAGATTACTGGTTTCAAGTATGAACTGAGTATGATAGCTGAGCTATAACTGTGAATTTGTGTATTGTTTCTGAGTCAAAGGTTGTGTGAAATTCTGACCAGGAAACGGGGAGAAGCATCAGATCCATCACCATCACCAGCCAGCCAACGGCACTTCCATCTTCTGATGCCACACTGCACGTAACTGTACATTTGCTTTGCGCTTATTAGAACTAAACCTGTAAATTAGCGACGGTAAAATCTTGGCTTAAAGATAACGTACACCCTAAGTAAAGGTGCTCATCTTCATCGCCACCTACCTGCCTTGCAGTGGCCCTGGAATATCCCCTGATATGAGCTTCTTTCCATTTTCCTCCTCTGTTCTTCTAATTTGAAGGAAATAAAAAACTGTTAAATTTCTAACATTTGAGCATGAACATGTGATAATGTCGCTTATAACCTCTTAGTAAACGATGTAGAACTTGAAACACATTTATCACATCTCCCTCTCCCCACCCCAGGCTGGAGTATAGTTTAGTTTCAGGAAAAGAAAATTAAAACAAATAATTTCAACCCATTTTCTGGTTAATTGATGCCCTAACTGACCTGAATATACAGAAAGAAGTATTTATAGATTCAAGTCAATTTAGTAAGTAAATGAAACTCTTAACAGGCAGAACTGAAAATTTTAAGTCCTGCCCTTCGATTTCAAAATCCTTTAATTACAAAGCAGCTTCTACCCAAGACAAATACCAATTTTAAAGTCAGCTGAAGCTAAGTGTGACGTTCTGAAACCAAGAGGTGAATTAACAGAAGGAAACCAGTGCCACCAGTTTCACAGCAGGTTGCACACGTTTAATGGGGTCACTTCCGTTCCACAGGCTCACCTCTGACTGTCCTCCAGCATCCTCATGGCCTCCTTCAAGTTTTTTCCCATTTCAGCTAATGTAGGATCTGCTATCTGGGAAACAAATTTTTAAAACGTTAAGATTTAACAGCCCTCTATTACTTCTGCAACATAATTCATCCAGAAAAACTAAATGCAAGTCCATTTTCTTCTGGATTTATTATAAAATACATGGATTATAAAGCACATGTTTGCTTAAAAAATTCCAACAGTACAAAGGTCTAAGTGTAAGTTTGTGGAGCTAATGAACAACTGACAAGAGAGGTGTCCAAATACTGGCTTCCTGGTTCCTGTTTCTGCCACTTTCTATTACATCACACTGATCTCGCGAGGCATGACAAAATAATCATGCAGCCATATCCGATCAGATTTTTATACCTGATAGAAAAATCATTTAAAAACAGATGTTTCTAATAAAAATCATGATTTAAATGTAACCACGAGATAGGTTAGAAAGAGAACAATCTGAAAGGGTCTCTGTGCTCTCCATTGACAACTCTGAGTGGGATGAGGAACAGATAATGGTCAAGAGAATTATCTTGCTCCTCAGTCTACTGGTCATGTCCCTTACCACCTCCATCTCCAAACTCTGATCATCCGGCCAAATGAAAAGATAAACAGTTTGCTTCATCAATCACACCTCCATGTTTCATGCTTACAACATCTGCCCTGTCTGAAATGTCCTTGTGCCTTTTATCTATTAAATCATTATTCAATCCTTCCAAGCAATCTTTATGGATAAAACCATTTTTACTTTTTCATATACCTTCTACTGATATCAATACAATTTTTTCTAAACCAAATCTGGACTCATTGCCTGACAAAAATTATTCTTTATGGGGACAACAGGATGGAAGGCTTGAAATTGGGGCCGTTCTAATATGCAACTGCCATTTATCCTTATGATTCCTTACATCCTTTACTGTAAATTGCTTTATAGATGATCTTTCCAGTATAGATATTCTCTCCAATTAGATTATAAGTTTCTTGAAGGCAGCCATTCACACTCCTACGAACTTTGAGTTCTCTTATAGGACCAAGGGTCTAAAGTCAGCTTGATACACCAATTGTCATATTACCTCTGACATCCCTTAGCAAGGCATGGTAAATTGCATATCAACATGCTGGCTCTAAGTGCAATACAGCTAACTTTTCCTACAAGATTGGGACAGATTTTTCAGTTAAGAATAGACAAAGTAGTTGACTTAGTTTAGAATCGTTTCATACAACAATACTTATTTTTAAACACCAGAATCACATATGATGACAAGGTGCTTACACTGAGAGAGGCAAGAGGGAACGCAGCTTCATACTCCCCCATCCGAGTCTCTGTCTATACAGCGCACACGCTCACTGAGTGGAATGGCTGACATTTACTCCTACTTTCTTTCAGGGAGTAAAGTGGGGGCAGGGAGGTTGCAGATGGATAGGGAAAATAACACATTTAAATTTGAATAAATTAAATGCGAATAGGATATGACTCTAACACTGCAGACCTTCACGTGCTTGTTAACTGGATAATTCAAAATATAAAATGTTATCCATTTGCAGGATATTAGGCCTCATGGAATGCTCTAAGAAAAAAATGTTCATTGTTCAAATGTTATTGGTTCCTTAAAACTAAAAACCATTCCTCCATAAACTTCTACTGAGGGCAACCACTACTATCTTTTTCACATTTCATATACCTCTTTCAACGCCAAAGTACTTGTGTGATAGATATTAATAAACAATAGCAGAGCATCAGCCAGACACAAACCAAAATGAGTGAAGAATTAAGTTGAATAAAGATGTCTGTCATTCAGTATTTAGAAGGAAACTATTTTACAATATTGGGGCAAGGAAAAAATAGTATTCTACGCCAGGTTCCTAGGAAGAATGTCATATTTTTTCAACCCTTAGCACCTAACACAGGGTCTGGCAGAGAAGAAGAGCTCAATAAGATTTGTAACCCTTAATAATTACTAATGCATACTGATGCTCACCATATTCCATACATAATGTAATGAACACCTTTACACGCACTGCTTCCTGGCTAACCCAAAGGCACAGAGTTAGTATGCTTTACAGCCAGAACATAAAACAAGGTCTGTACTGACTACTCTAGAACCAGTGCTCTTAACCACCAGGCAAAACTGCTCTTCAATTTTATCAAGTAAGTAAACAAGCAACTCACGCCTGGAAAAAGGTCTGTACTCAAAAGTCATGATGAGAGCTAAGGTCTCACTTTAAAGATAATCCTTGCTTGACTAATGTTTTCACCTAGATAAAAAGTCAGTAAACCAGAAGATTTTCCCTACACATCAAATTTCCATTCTACAACAGCCTTAACTAGTTGACCACAAATTTACCACCCAAACCAGAGCATTTTTTAGAGTGCAAGGCAGTAATATTAATAATTAACCCAAGACAATAGGCATAAACTGGGACAGTCCTGGGCAAACCAGGATTTACAGTTACCCTAGCCTTCAGTAAAATGCTTACTCCATATCTTAAACCATTATTCCGCCGAGTGAAGGCCATGCCAATGTTTGCAGTGGTGGCTGTACATGAGTTATAAGGTAAAATGAAAGACAACATATAATTTGAAAGGAGTGCACTTGCAGTGCAGGTACAGCCTACGGCACCAGTCTCAACGCTTAAGTCCACACAGTAAACTGCTACAAGAGACTTCTTTTCCTACCTATAAATGTATCTGAATACATTTTCCCCCTCACTTAAATCCTGAGGATAGTGACCTGACTAAAAATCTAGGGCCTACTAGAAACAATTTCTGAAAAAAGGTTCCTTTATTAACAAAAAAGTCAATAGATTCCAACCATCACTTCTAAGGCCATTTGGCATTCAGTCTATTTCCTTTCCATTATCTCTCCTACTGCCCTTAAGCAAGTCAACCCAGGCTGAGCATGAATGTGGCGTTTCAAGATGCTTTTCTAGGAAAGGGAGCTGTAGCCAACACAGACTTCTGAGTTAGACTCCTAGGGCCCCCTCTCACTCTGGGTCCCTCAGCCTTAAAGAGGCTTGTAGTAATTATATGGTTTAAAAACAGATCCAAAAAGTGCAACAAAGCATTTATGGAGTGTGTGTATCTACAGGTTGACCTTCTAAACAGAAAATCACTACATGCTCACTACTGAAAACTCAGAAACAGTTATTAGACTGTCAGTCATTTATCAATTATATTTCAGCTATGGTTGATTCTGCTGTGTAATGATGAGGATTCAGTATTTTTGCTTCAATTATGTCTAACATAGATGCACGGTACGGCTTAATGCAATTTCCAGGCTTCTCAAGATAACCATTAAATTGTTTGCATGATAACTGTCACAGAACTAGAAAGCTCATTTTCTAACACAACCCCCACCATTCATCCTTTTATAACTAATTTTTCAACAATCATTTTTATACTAGTTGATTTTCATAACTTTCAGTCAGTGTGGGATATCAAAACATCCTGCCACTATCAGAGGAAATAGTATACATGTAATGTTAAAGTATCATTAAAACTCTCACCATGTAAATGGTGGAGGAAAAAAGTTGAAAGTCAAATGCAAGATAAAACAGTAAAGGAGGTCAGGAAGTAATTTTCAATTTTTCAAAAAAGTCACTGGGAAATTAAAAATTAATTTGGTATAAGGCTATATAGATTAATAAAAAATTAGTTATTTTTGCTTTTAGCTAAAATTGTATCAACTTAGTTATGAAGTAACACAGGTACTATTCCTATCCTTATAATTTGAGAATACATTATATTCACCATTTTATTCTATTTCATTTTTAAAAAACTGCTGGTCATGACCTGCTAAATTGATTTGACATCTCATATATAGGACTGTAACCTGCAGTGTGTGTCTGTGTGGAGGGGGGTGAAACCCACTATTTTATGGATGTTACTTAAAATTAGCATACAGTTATTAGTAATGGGATAAACAATCATTTGTTAATAAAGTTTGTTAACTAAGAAGTTACAATAACCTTTCAAAAGTGGGGACTGCAGCAGAAAAATAAAAATCTTAGGGCCAAATATTTGGGAACTACTGCTTCTCAGCTTCCAAGATCCTTAATCAAACTCTTGTGTACATTTTCTCCAGTGAAGCCAGTATACCAAAGTACAACCAAAAAATATTTACTTTCACATGAATTAGGGAAAAAATAGTATTTTACATCCTGAATTCATAAACATTACTGTTTAGCACAAACCTAAGTTTTAAAAAAAGTAGAGGTGTGCGAGGGTACGCGGTAGTGACAGAAAGCAGATCTGGAATCCACTGCAAAGGGGCACAAGGGAACTTCTGGGAGATGGAAGTGTTCCGTATCTTGATTATGCTGGTGGTTATGTGACTATACTCAACTGCCAAAACTCAAATTGTATAATTAAAGTGGGTATTTTTTTCAAAAAAAATTTTTTGGAGGAGGAGGTAACTAGGTTTCTTTCTTTATTTTTAGTGGAGGTACTGGGGATTGAATTCAGGACCTCACTCAAGCTAAGCATGCACCCTACCCCTGAGCTATACCCACCCCCCGAGAGTGGGTATTTTTATTGTTTGTAAATTGTCTCTCAATTTAAAAAAAAAAAAAGGAGAGTGAATTGATTTAAACTCAATTGAAAAGAAATGTTAAGCAAATAACAGTACAAGTGATACACTGATGTGACAAAATTCACAAAGATGGTATATGAAAAACTGCTATTTGAGAAAGACAGAGCTAAACCTTCGAAAGGAAGCAAAGCCCAGAAAAGGGGAAGTATAAAATGTAATTTTAAAACACATTAATCACAACATTCAACAACAACAGAAGCATACAATACTGCAGTTTCAATAAACTTTTTTCAGGGGAGGAATTTCATTTTTGAGGGGTTCTAGGACTACTGACAGAAAAACTAAAGCATATGAGAATACCCACTGATTGTATCAGACAGAAGACCTTAGTGTTATCAAATGCTAGTTTCCAATGTTTGCATTAGACATAAAAGACACTACCTTTCTGGAACTGATCAAAGTGATCAGAAAAAGCTCTAAACTGATGTTTGCAACATTCCACCTATCCTTTTGCC